AAAAAAAAGAGGAGGGGGATGAAAGAGAATAGAATAGAACAATAAGGCACATGTGTATGGAGTAGGGGTAATGTGTAAATTTCTGATCCACCTTTCTTGCGGGACGGGGCACCTGTGATGTATCTCTTGGATCTATCACATGATTATTTGCATGGAAAGCGCCAAGGGACCATTCACGTATCCTTCAGATATGCTTTGTTATTCGTAGCCTACTAGCAACATAACTCTTACAAGGCTTAATTATGAGAATGTTGGTCTCTGAAGAAACTAGCTTTTAGCAGACTTCCTATCGCCATTTTTGTAGTATCTATAGCGTTAACCGAACAACAACAATGTCACCACCTCTCTCCAGGTTCTTCAGCCCTTGATCCACTCCCCAGACAATAGATATATCATATCCACGGATCGGGGCGTTAACCGATACTATCCATTATCTTACGATATAACTGGACGGTCAGACCTTTAAGACTGTTCCGGCACCCTGGAGATCGTCCCGCCCGCTTCACCCAAGAAGCCACCAACCCTTGACAAATTCCATTCTGGACGTGTTCCACGCACTAGCATATCCTGTGAGAAATTTACAATAGAAATGTGGTTCTAATGGTTATTACTGACTCAGAGGCATATTAGTGATTATTTCCATGCGTGAAAACTACTTGGCTGTTGAAAGGGATGCATCAACAATCAGTCCCATCATAGATCAAGATTTGTTATTCTGTGTGAAATGTAGGATGCGAATAGTTTTCCATACAACGACCAGATAGTTTCACTCTGTCAGTTGAGAGGCCTTGTGTCAATCCATTGTATAGGGGCCTGGGCAATTAATGTGCCAAGGGAGGGCTTCTCCTCCTCCTCCTCCTCCTCTCTCTCTATTTATATTTTCTATTTTTCATTTTCCTCTTTGGTTTCTCACTTAAAAAGGGAGCTATCTGGGCTGCCATCCAGACCTTCTAACGAAAGATAGCGCGATCTGAGAGTCCCAACTAGGTGGCACCGAGATCCACCCCTGTCACTTTAGTCCTAGTCTTTGCATATGCGATATCCATCCGGACTATTGTATGCGTCCCAATGCAATCACCTACGGGGAACTTCCTCCCCCCGCTGCCCTATATCTAATTTTAAATGGATAGACTTCAGGCTCTCCCGCTACTCTTGGATATAAATTCTCGCTCGGACATATATCTTACTTCAACAGTCTTCTGGTCACGGTTCAATCTCATACTCACCTACGGCCTGCCTTAATTCTATGCTTCAATCATACCCCTGCTTTCTCAATGGCATTCATATAACAGCTATGAGAGCTTCCCACCCCCCTCCTCCTTGATGATACCCCGGCCCCCTTTGTCATATACTGTCTTCACCAACAGCATATAACTTCTTAAGCTATTCCGTTCTTCAAGTACAGTGACCCTATATACACTTGAATGCGACACCGCTGTTCATTGGATCCATTGGACATTGGCATACCCTCGGGTTTATTTCTTGACGAATGCATACGCCTGCTTGTTTTTCAACCACCGCTATGAATTTCAATGTGCCTCGACCTTTTCTGCCATGCCTACTAGGGGGAGCCTCCTTTGCGTTAACCTCCGTGGTCACCCTTCTCGACGGTTTATGCTTGACCTCCTTCAAAGACTTCTCGCCTAATGTTCGCTCAATCGAATCTGCCGTTACAGCCCTGAGTGCAGCGAACTGTGCCATGCTCGTCGTTACAATCTTATTTTGGCTGACAGATATCAACAATGAGAATACAAGACAATTAAGCGCGTACCGAAGGCGCGTATATTACATCCTGATTGCCTACTCGGCTATGACCACAGGGGTGACCGCCGGAGGTATAGCATGGGGCACGGCACAGGTCATGATAGAGCAACAGCAAATGTCACTACGTCCAAGACAGCGACTGTTGCTGGTAACTCGTAGTGTCATATGGGCAATTTCTGTCCTTACCCAGGGCCTCTTTGGTGGGCTTCTCTTAATGACACTAGCAAAACAGACCAGCCGCAGCAGATGGTTGACGTCGCTATCTCACGATCTTGATGCCATTCAAGAAGAGTTAGCTGTAGACAACAGACTGGAGTCAACAAAGCAGCCGCAACTTGTAGTTGACTCACCGAAAAAATCCACAGATCGAAAGCGGAGCTGTGATGGTTCGATTGGGATCCAACAATCTACGTCAAGTGCTGCGTCTTTGATCTCGAAGCGCTACTCAGGCCGAACGTTATACCAGCAAGATTCCAAACACAGTTCTATTGACTTTAATCCGCCAATAACCTATCCTGAATGCGTTGCAATGCGCAATACGTTCAATGGCTGTCTCTGCGGACATAGCAGCTACGCTGCGGGGGCCGATGGCGACGCTGGGTCACGCAAGACACAGGGGAATAAACCAGAGTTTAGGTGCTCTTTGGATACTTTGCGACGGCAAACTTCATTGAGGAAGTCATCGGATACTTCAAGATCACTTCAGCCAGAGGCTCCCAACAAGGGTGGGCCCCCAAAACTAACACTGTCTGATGAGAGTAATATCCATCCACTTTTTCGTTCTAACAGTCCAACCCCTCCACCTACAGCTATGCCTGGGACCACCGTTATTGCATCTCCAGCGGCTGGACAAACCATCTCTATGAAAGCATTACATAGGATGAAATCGACCAATTCACTCCGGTCCTACACTCCACGAAGTCGGTCACCCCTGTTTGAGCGAACTGGTCATGTCGATGAAGAAGTACATTCAAAGAATGGACTAGGTGATGGTCGATGTGAGCTCAGCAATGACCAGACATTCGCAATACCAAAATTTGTTATGGCTGCGGATCTGCGAAGGAGCATAACACAGTATGAGAAGAGGTACGATTTGATAGAATCCCCTCATGAAAGCTAGGAAATGGTGGTTTCAACTTAAAGATGTCATTGAGTCATGTCTTTCCTTTGTCACAATTCTCCTTATTTTGTTATTAGATATCCCAGGCGTAGCACGTCATTTGTAATTAGCATCTAATACCAATGAAGAATCTTTAGAAACAACTAAGTGATAATACAAGTCCCCTCTTATTCGCGACGGCTCGACCTTGAACTTATTATGCTATGGCTGCTATGGCATGAATTAGTACCGTACATGGACATATTCCTTCTGGTCGATATGATTATACGGAGTAATTGATTCGAATCCCGCTAGTAAGTGCCATAGCAGACCCTTCCCAGAAGTCAATATTTAGTCGATGCTCAGATGTTTGTGTCTCAATGCGTCTCGGGGCAAGGACCATTATGCACTGTACAACATCTTGTAACACACCAGTTTCAGCATATCATATAATGCGATTAAAATGGTTTCAGCCGTACTCTTTGAGATAATCCCCTCAGATCCCATGATGTGGAATCACTAACATTATATGCATTATTGATGATGCTATCTATGTGGGTCCCGTTGCTACACAGTCACCAATACATTGTGGTGGAACTGACGGTGAAGGTGGAGCTGCATAGTTGTATGCATGTTAGGCTCTCGTGATATTGTTGACTTTATTTATTTTGCAAAAATAGCACAGTCAGAAATATCTTTTGACGGTGAGAGGGCATGGAAGAATTTTGCGCTGACTTCTTGGGTGGCGGTCTCGTACGCAGCTACAACGGTTTTGGTGGTGGGAGAGAGCAATGACAGCCTCCACCTCTTCCTTTTCTCGTGCCGATTACTTTGCTCTTGCATATTCGTTTGAACGTTGAGACTTTTCACCATTTGGAGGCTCAAGCACCATAGTGCTCAGAATTTCAGATTGTATATCATAAGCGTGTGATGTAGTTGTAAGAACAAAGGTAGACTAACATATACTTCATATCTTTTTTTTAATATATATATATAATATAATAGGTTCCTTAATACATGTTTCACTTCACGATCCAATATATACATCTGTGCTCATCTTTCAATTCTTGGCTTAATGCTTTCGCCAATGTTTCTTATTTGCAATTGAGATAAGGATATGCACCAGTATAGGCAAGATTAACGAATGTTTCTCGAAGTAGTTACTATCTTTGAACCAGCTAAAGTAGGTATTGTTATTGTATTTTCATAGAGCGGATTTTAAGAGTCTGTTAATGCTTTCAACAAGGGCTTCCAATGGTTTTTAGGATAATCGATGAGATTGGATACGTAAGTACCGTACCTTTGGCATAGACGGTATTGCACGCGAAACACAAGATTTCCCTTTTTTTTTTTTTTTTTTTTTTTCCTCTTTTTACATCAGCAGACAACGGAACTAGCGTGCACGCAAACATTACCATACCACGAGTATTACCAGATAGACTAAACCCGAGTAGGAGGCTTTTTCTGGTAACTAACTTCCAGTAGGGAAAGAACTAAAAAACTACAACTTATTATCACCCTTGCATACCACAACCCCAGATCGTTTGAGGTCTCCTCTATCTCCTGAGTCATCATCTGCGTCGGAATTCTATTTTCACATACGTATTTTCCATCTCTTCCGAGTGGATTGAAGGGTTGAATACAAGAAGAAAGGTTTGTTTTCTTAACAAGTTACTCACCTACTTAACCTACTTCCTCTCTGCGCCACCCTGCCCTTTGGACTTGACACCCAGTCAAATCCTGCGGCCAACCCGGTAATACGGCGACCAGACCAAACCTCTTACTCAGGTTGGCAGGGCACTAATGTGTACCTCTTTAGAATTCCTTTTCACCTTCCATACGTACTACTATTCAGCCCCAGAGTTGCTTTATTTCGCTTCATTTTCCCTCTCCCTTATTAACACAAAGAGGACTCTCTACGTGTTTCTTCCCCCTAGAATCTGATATCCTCTTTTCTCTTCTTTATCTCTCTATTCTCCATTTCTGTTCACTCCCTCCCCCGATCAAGCCGTTTCGAGTTCCCGCCTATGAAGATCAACACACCTGGTGTACAACAGCATTCGTGATCTGATTTTCTTCTCCAGTATATCCTCGTCTCCCTTTCTCTTCTTCGACCCTGATTACATTCGTCGGCTCTTCTTTTCTTCTTCTCTGTAAATTCTACCCCTTCAATTCCTGGTACTGCCGGACCTCTCCAGGTTCCTCGTACAACCCGTTCTGTTACTTGACTTACTACTTCCGGCGACTAAATTCTACTTTACCTTTTCTCACGGAGATCCACTTGGCCGAACCACCTTTTACTTCATCCACTTACTACTTACTTCACTACTTGCAACAACTCTCTCCCTGTCGCATGCGCCGTCGCATTTAGCCTTTTGGTAAGTTAGTTTCCACCAGCATTCTTCATAGGCCTTTCTATTCTTGCGCCCATCTCATGTTATTCCCCCAATCTTCTCGCCTGCGATTCTTCTCCTTCAATCAAAATGTGCTCTTGCCATCTTTAACATACTCACCCACTCGGTGCTTCGGGCCATTTGCCCATCGTGCCCGCTCAAGCTTTCACGCTCTCAATGGGCTCCTATCCCTCTGCCTATATCTTTGTATGATGCCCTTATTCTCGTGATGATCTCGAATTGCTATCTGTCCTTGATCTTGAGTGGATCCCTTCTCCGTCATATGTTCTTATCCTTTAGTATACGGGCATTACCTTTCAGCAGGCTACATTCCCCTCTTCTTGTTTCTGACTGAACCATCTTATCAGGATGTTGGCCTGATTGATGTTGATCTCTCTCCGACCTCCCCTTCTCTTTTTTTCTTGTTCCCTTTTTCTGGCTTTTTGTTGGAAGCTTCCAAGGAGCTATTTCTTGTCAAAGCTCCACCTCCTCAGCTGACAGTTACACCTTCTCGGCAATCCTTCTTGTGAGAACACCCTTGCTGATACCCGAAAACATAGAATTGCGATGGCGGGCATCAAACGTAAACTTGACTCCATCAAAGGGTCAGCTGCAGGGCCCACCGGCAGCGCAACAGGCGCAGGAGCTCCCCCAAAGACGCCCAGTAAGTATCACAGAGCACTGCTATCATCTTTCGTAGATACTAATTGCTACATAGACTCTACAGTTGGTGATACTGCTCATATCCGTGTGACACGGAGTCTACGTGCAAGCCAAGATGCGCGGGCGAACCAAACTGATAACAACAAGAACAGCACAAACAGCGCAATGCATAACAAGAGTATTAATCATCGCCCTTTGTCGCGTATAATCACGCTCAGTACCCGTGCTGCTCGAGCCAACAGCGCTGCAAGAAATGCATTGAACAACGCAGCAAACAATGGTACAAATAGCCCATCTAATGCTGCTCGTGAGACCCGGGCTTCTCGAACCCGGGCTGCAGCCCCTGCTGCAGTTGCGGCACCCGCACCCGCACCCGCACCAAGTCAGTTTGACGGAACAACCTTGAGTGTGCCTGAAACCCCCCGGTCTAAGAGAGTCAAACGAGGTCCGGTAGTCGAGGAAACTCCAAGAAGTACGAGACAGTCTGCTAGACTCCGGTCCCACGTCAACACGTCTTTTAATGAGAACGCCTCCACTGAGGCAGCCATTACCAAACAGTTTGAAGCAAGCCCCACCAAGGGGGTTACTCCTAGTAGTAGAACTAGGAATAGAAGCAGACAAGCTGTGGATGCTGCATCTGACACTATTCAAAATAGTGTGAATTCTAACTCAACCACCGATATGAGGCCACAGTCCCCGGAAGACATAATTCCAGAAACTGCCGAAGGATTTAAACAAACAGAAGGCGATCAAGATCCGCATGTATCCATGGAATTGCCCCAAGCTGCAGGGGAATTATCGACGGACTCCACGCACCAGGAGGACAATCATGGAACGAGTGAGGAGGTTGAGGGTATGCCTAGTCCCGCGAAGACTACCTGTTCATCTGGTTCTCGAAAGTACAGGTCTTCGGAGCCAGAAAACAAAGGAACTACAGAGTTTACTAGTATTCTTGATCTTCCTCATCAAAATCTGAAATTGGAGGATGGGGAGCTCGATCGTACGGCAGAACAGCCTTTACAGGGCATTGTCACTACCAAAAATGCGTCGCGCTCCCCCGACGACGAGGTGGAAGAATCTAAAGCTGGCGATGAATCCCGTCAGATTACGGAAGACATTGAAGAATCAACTCCAGAGCATGCCACAGAACCCACAATTGGGAAGGCAGTTCGTGGCGGGCGTAGTCGAGGACGAGGCCGCGGTGGGCGTAGCAGAGCTGCTGCACGCTCCGGCTCAAGCAAACGAGGTCGTGGCGGTGCTCGTGCTGCTCGTGGTGGGCGCACTGGGCGTCACTATGATCGATCAAGTGATGTCGAGCACGACCGTTCTCCTTCCCCTAGTGCAGCCACCCAAAAGCTCCGGGATCGACAACGGGAACTGGACAAAGCATTTAGGAAGGTTGCAGCTGCCCAACGATTGGCGTTGGCTGTCTTAGCTTCACAGTCCCAGAAAAAGCTTTCCCGCGATAAGAACGCCCACAAGAATGTACCCGAGTATGAAGAAATTAACTCACTTCTGAAGGCGAGGCTCGAAGAGAGGTTGGAGGTTTTCCGCCATGAATATGAGCTCCGAGTTGAACAAGAAAATAGGCTTTTCGCTGCTAATAGAGAAGCGATCGAAGAAAGATTTCGAGTAAGTTCGATATTCCATTCGATACTTTGCCTTTTTGGAGCTGCTGTTGATGACAAACGATTACAGGCCTCAGCTCGGTACATCAAAGAGGAACATTTCTTTGCAAGCCAAGGAGAATATATGGCATTCGTGGAAGGTCGACGTGCTGCAGAGGATGATGAGCACACTGAAGTATGCCAGTTTTTGTGTCTAGGATCATTATGCAAACGCAATAGGCTAACATGGTCTTAGACTGATGGCTCTGAAACCGAGCCTGAGCGTGTTATTCCACCAGCAAAAGAAGTCGTGAGGGGGTTCAATTCTTCCTTCGTACGGAATCCTGCTGGAGCCGCTTCCTACGACCGTGCTAGGTATGGCTGGGATGATTTCGTCCAGCGTGCTAAGTTAGGCGATGATATCGACCCGCAGATGAAGGAGATGAGGGAAGCCGGACCGTTTGCTGGCTTTTCTGCTCGAGAAATCATAGACCTCTTACTAGAGGCGACCGGTATCGTTGAGGTGCGCCAGAAAGCTAGTGTGGAAAATCAGCTCAACCCTGCATTCCTTGATACGCGCCCGACAGCCTTGTTCGCATTGGCTGATGTGGCAGCCGCTGAGCTCCCTCGTCCTACCTTATCCCAAACCACACCGCGGCTTTCGGCGCACAGAGCTCTTCTCCCACAGCCTTCACAGGTGGCTCACGGGCCGACAGATCCTCGATCTTTTGTGCTGCCTCCCCCTACACCCCAACGGCAACAGCCCCGTCGGCTCCTCCCTGCCGGGCAGCAAATTCCACCCATCAGTGAGCAGCTCGGTCTCCCAGATCCATTCGCGAGCAGGGGTGGTCCTCCGCAGCTTCCCCCTCCTCCGGGGTCTAACTTCCAACGGCCTCCACTGCCTAATTACTTAGCAGGTCATCATCCACAGAGTTTGTATTATCCACCGCCACCGCCGCCTACAGCTCCGCCACCTCCAGGCCCTCGCCCTCCATATTAGAAAGCCACGCATGGACGATACGACCTTCCTTCTGTTCGTTCTCTTAATACTATTTTGTTATTTTTTTGTCTAATTTCGCAGACATGCCATATTCTTTGAATTTGTTAGGGTTTGATATACGGAGCTACGATCTATGCCAAAACAGTAATGTTGGTTCACGTCGGGAGTTATGTGCTGGTTGGGTGGTACTTTTCCTCTCTCTCTTTCTTTATGCCTCTTCTTCTTTTGTTGATTTATCCCCCTGGCGGTTGAGAAGACTTTGGAGCGTGGGCTTGATGTAATATCCCAAAATAGTATTTATAGTGGATGATGGTATCATGCATACCCTGTTTGCATCTTCTCTGAACGATATAGATGCAAAAAGAATCGAATGTATTTTACACCTAAGGACATAAATCGTTAATTTTATGTGGTTTTTGATTTTACTTAGCTAATAAATAAATAAATAAATAAAATAATATAAGAAGGAAGAAAAAACCAACGGAGTGGATTGAAGGGTGAAAATCTGACCAGAGGTAAATAGCAGACCCACTCAGCATCAGAATGAATAATGATGACTCCTTCCATGACTCTTCGCCGTGACTCCGCCCCGATTGGGTCTAGTCCCCTGGGTGGGGTGCTGGGATTTGAGGCTGCTTTTCCTTTGCATTGATCTTTTTTTGCGTTGCTTCGTAAATTCTCTCGGACACTTTAATTCCTATATCAGTTGACTTTTAACCGTCAATTGATCCTACCAGAACTCTGTCACGGGCGCTGTGTTCATCTTCGCGCATTCCCTGTTCTCTGTCACGACTATCTAACGACAGTTTCTGCCTCTTTATCACCCACCCCACCTCGCAGCTTCTCCCATTTTCCTTCTCGCTTCATTCTTCTAGATTATATCCTGCCTCTTCCACCCTACGATTTATCCTTGAATTTTCAAACTGAAGCTCTCGCTTGGACACTATCGAAAACTTTGAATTATGGCGGTTCGCGCACAGTTTGAGAACTCCAACGAGTGAGTGGAATATAGTTACCATGTTTTCCCTCTGAATGAAAAGTGGATAAAGAAAAGAGAGAATGAAAAAAAAAGGGTGGGGGAAGGAAAAAGGAAAAGCAAAAGAAAAAGAAAGAGAAAGAAAGAAACAAAAATGACTAGGAATAGGCATTAACTGTGATATTCACTATGCAGGGTTGGCGTCTTCGCTCGTCTCACCAATTCATATGCCGTTGTCGCTATCGGAGCCTCGGAGAACTTTTACAGGTGTGTGCGGTTGAATGCAGGCCCTATAGAATAGTGAACTGACTCCCACAGTGTATTCGAGGCTGAACTCCAAGATGTCATCCCCATCTGTCACGCTACTATTGCTGGTACTAGGATTGTTGGGCGTCTAACAGCGGGGTATGTCTTAAAGTTCACTACATACTTGCTCTGGCCCTCATACCATAGCACAATGGAACTCACACATTGAACAGTAACCGTAAGGGCCTTCTGGTCCCCACCACCACCACAGATCAGGAACTGCAGCATCTCCGGAATACGCTCCCAGACTCGGTCAGGATTCAACGGATAGAAGAGCGTCTATCAGCTCTGGGAAATGTCATCTGCTGCAATGACCATGTCGCCTTGATACATCCGGATCTGGAGCGAGAAACAGAAGAAATGTACCAACCCCACCACCATTGCTTCTTGACTGCTATATGGCATGGAATGGAAGTGTTGACAATTTTTTACTAGTATCGCCGACGTCCTTGGCGTCGAAGTCTTCCGACAAACTATTGCCGATAACGTCCTGACGGGCTCATACATGGCTCTCTCCAACCAAGGCGGTATCGTGCACCCCAAGACCTCCATCCGTGATCAGGACGAGCTCTCCTCTCTCCTCCAGGTGCCTCTTGTCGCTGGTAGTGTGAATCGTGGTAGTGCTGTTGTTGGTGCTGGTATGGTTGTCAACGACTGGTTGGCTGTAACGGGCCTGGATACGACGGCGACAGAGTTGAGTGTCATTGAGAGTGTGTTCCGCTTAGGGGAGATGGGCCCTCGCGGTGCCGGCATGGGCAATACTAACAAGGAGAGCATTGTGGAGAGTTTCTACTAGGCTCGCTTCCTGGGTGGTGTTATTATCTGGGATTTATTCATTCAGAATTGTCACGTATAAATGTGTATGCCTTGTGCGCGCGCATACATGTTTACAATGCGAGATGCTTCCTTCAGCCTGTCTCTAATTCTTGGATACATATTGAATAGGACACGGTCAATAACGACCCGTTAACGACCTAGAATAGCACCGGTACCTCAGCCATAGTCAAAATAGACAGTACCAGTGCCCAGAGAAGTGGCATCTTATGTACGGAATCTGAAACCTGGTTATATGAGTGGTAGAGATGTCCGTCTACCAAAACCCAACCCAACATATACTATTCCGACTACCATCAGAATAGGACACAGACGAATCTGAAGTCGACTAATTATACAGGTTTAGAAATTGATTTGCTTCCTGTGTTCCAGTATGCTCCTTCTTGCTGGCATCTTGTTATAAAGTAATGCGACAACACTAGTGGGTATGAGGGGTATTGAAAGGGTACTTAAGACAATGTAAAGGCAGAGGCGAAGAAGTCTGTTGGAGTATAGAAGGGGAAAAATGGAGAGGAGAAAAAAAAAAAAAAAAAAGGGAAAAACGAAAGAATAGGCAAAAAAGAAAAATAGAGGGTAAGTAGGGAGAGAAATAGTGCGAAGCATGTTTAAAAGTACGGACAAAGATTAAAACCTGCTAGACCCGGGCCTAACATAAATAATCTGCCGGAATCAAACTCCGTAAACACCAGTCCAAAATGCTGATAAAAATATTAAGTTGCTTTTTTCTTTATGGGGGTAGCTCGGTATTTGCGTCATCATACCTTCCCTTCAATCTCAGGTTGAGATGATTCGAGCTTGTTCATATCCGTAATATACTCAGCTTTAGATGGCGATTGATCTATAGCGTGATCCGTTTCAGGGGATTCGCTAGGGATCTCATCGTCTGGCGGAGGTGGAGGGGGAGGTGGTGGAGTGAACTCGTTGTTTTCACTCCTACTATCGATCTCATCGCTTAGGATTTTCTTTGCATTATCCATGTTTTGCGGGTTATCTCCAGGACTTATTGGAGGCGGAGGCGGTGGCGTTGAGGATCTTTGTCTCTTCGAGGTTGAAATGTACTCGTCCAAGTTGGAATTCTCTGCAATATCTCCCTCTCTTTTCCGTTTTATACCTCCCTGGGTTTCTTCTGCAGTCATGGGCGTGTCCTTCTCATCGGCCTTGTCTTCCTCATCATCGGACATCTTCATATCTAGCGCCTCATCGTCACTTGCAGCCTGAGGCGTTTCCACCTTCGCGTCCATTCCCTTCGCTTGCTTTTCGACCTTCCGTTGTTCGTAAGCTCGGTGCTTTAGGACGGCTTTGTCAAAAAATTCCTTGCAATACTTTTTGACTTTCTTCTGCTGCTTTTCGCTGATCTTCGTAGGGTCCTCAACTCGGTTGTTCTTGAAGTCAGAGTTGACTAGTTTCTTCGCCACCTATGCGCAGGTGGTATTAATATGTATGCATCGTATACTCTAGACAATAGGACTTACATCCTTGGCGTAACGTTTCAAGTCCTCCTTTGGAAGCTTATGCTTGAATTTATCCACTACATACTTTATGTGTGGGAACAACTGATGTAAAATTAGCCCTCTCGTTCATGTGGTAGACATACATTGGTACTCACCGTATTCTCATAAACTTTCTTTTGTTTATCCTCACTGTAACTTCTCCATTTCTCCTGCCCCTCCTTCTTGACGGGAATTGGTTTACATACTTGCGGCGTGCCAGGCGTACCGCTTTTTTCCTTAGGCGTGTTCTCCTTAGCATTCATGATGCCATCGATAATGTCTTGCAGTGCTTTGTCTCTCGACTCTTTCGGAGGTGGAGGAGGCTGAGGCGCTGGCTTAGTTGGTCTGGTCCATGTGGTATCCCCACGCGCCGAGTAATAGTATGTCCGGCCATTCGATTCAGCGGCGAACCATCCTGTTGGAAGTGGGTTGAACTGACGACGAAAGGACCTTGGGCCGTGATGGTGAGGGTTTCTTTGTCCGAACACCCCTCGAGTTTGAGCTGCAGGCCCCCGGGGGGCCTCAATTGACCGCGACCTTGACCGGCTGCGGGACTTTGACCGCCGTCGTTGATCCCGAATAGTCTCCCGTCGTTCAAATTGATTGACAGCTTGTGCGGTAGCATTCGGGTCTCGTTTCATGCGTGGAATCCGATAACCTACCTCCAGGGTCGACCAGACCTGCAGAAGTGTAGCCGCCTTCTTCTCGACACGCTCGTCACCACAGCTCGTCAGCGGCTGGATAGTAACCTCTATCTTCGAATCAATGATCTTATTCCGCGTGAGGCGCGGAAACTTATCCAAGATATCCAAAATCTGCAGCACAACATTGAAATCGTCCTTCCACATGGTGAGCTGCGAATTGAGGATCTGGTACCCATGCATTTTCACCACACGATTGCGAACACGCTCGTCATCACAGCGTTGGATTCGCCCCAAAAGCTTCACCGCGATCCACTTCTCCTGACACTGCATCAAAGCCGCCATAACCTTGGTGACGCCGTTTTCCTCCAAAGACTTCGGCTGGACACTATCCACATACTCTTCATCATCCTCGCCCATCTTCTTCTTGCGTGGCCGCTTCGCCACCGCCGTATCCCAGCCGTCTGCATCCTCGATCCCCAGGGCTTCAATGGTGGCATTCGACAACTTCGTGGCACGTTCTGTCTGGGTTCTCCCACCAATGAAGCCTGTACAATTCGGTTCTCCGCAATAGCAAGGTTGAGGATCTGCTCCGTAACGGTCGACATTGTAATTAAAAACTAACTCCTCCCCCGCCTGAATGTCTCGTTCAGCAAAAATGCCCATGCGGAGCTTCTCCCCAACTACCCATTTGTCGACATAGCAGTTTGGATTGCACGAGTGGTTACAGAACCGACCTAGATTACCTCTCTTTGTCGCATCAACAAACTCACCTTTGCTGAGAGACATAAAATAGAAATGCTTGATCCCCTCTTCATCGTACTGCCTCATGCGTCGCCGGAACTGGCCTTCGTTGATAACTTCGCCTACATACTCGAAGATAAACTGGTGCGGTCGCAGGTCGGCCTCCGCACGCAGACCGAATCCTTTCTTCTCCGTTTTGATCACGGCTACCTGGGCATACTCCTTTCGTTGGAATCTTTGATTTTGACAATCCGGTCCGCATCCACAATCGCCCACACATTCAATTTTGGTCGCCCGGTTGATACAGTCGGAATCTTCTCCACATGCCAGATTCTTGGAGAGGGCAGGTTCTGGTTCGCATTGAAGTAATACATAGTTAACAATCATGCGACGAAAATAAGGGAATGATGATGTGAATATAAATCCAAGACATGGCGAGATACGGCCTAGGGGACATAACCAGGGGCGTACAAAGAAATCGGCATGCTTAGGATATTGCCGCTGAGGCTCGATACTGATGACGCGCATTTGAACAGAAAGGTAAAAGAAGCGAGCGAGTAATTGAGAGTAAGGCAGGGAAAAAGATAAGGAAATAGAAGGTAGAAGAAAAGAGACGTGACTTACCCCATTCTTCAGCACAATCACATTCCATCGCATGTTCAGTATAGCCCATGTACTTGTTTGCATAAGTGCAACTGTCCATCAGCTCAAAGGACGCCTGGGCCTCCGCCGTACTATCTCCAAGATGCGAGAATAGTTGTGGTGGCCGCGCAACAACTTTCTGGGAGGAGCTGCGAGTCAATTTGGGCGGCTGTCCAAGTTCTTGTTTGACAGTGATGTCGCCCCCGACTTTCTCCTCCATATCCGCAGTATGATTTGCCTCCTCTTTTTTGACAGGAGTTTGAGACGAGGAGCGTGATTTGACCGCAACATCCATATTCTGAGCAGAGGGCGAGCGGGACACGCCATTGGGATCATTCTTCAACGAGGTCCTTCCGCCGTTAAGAGCGGAAGCATCTGTGACTCTGTCGGGCTCCAGCTTCATCGCAGTTACCGCATCTATTACGAATTCTGACCGACGGTCCGCGTAGTCATGGGGGGACATGACGACACGGACGACGCGCGCCAGCTATCGAAGCTAGTAGGCGGATGCGCTAAAGAAGGCAGACGGTGTTTGTGTGACGTGGTAGTAGGTGGTCGGCGATAGGAGGTAGCGTGGGTGAGGAGAGACAAAATGAGGGCGAAGAACGGCGAAGCGATGAGGGGGGGAAAGAGTGAGAGGAATGAAATAATTCGAGTTGAACCAAAAGCCCAAGTCGAAGTCACCGTCCAACAACGTCCACGTTTTTTTCCCGCGGACGCCAAGAAAATATTAAAGAGGAAAAAGAAAAAAAAATCGAAGAATCAAGGAGTGTCATTCGCGGACTGCTTTCATACACTTCTAATCTGACTGGAGGGGGTTCTCCCAAGATCTTTCCCCAATTTCTTATTCACTATTCATCAAATCATTCATAATCTCTTCCTAACTATTGTTCCTGTAGTGTGGACTTCCTTCCCTTATACACCAAGCACCATTCACTTCCAGCTCTCTCAACATATCGAAGAGGCACCCAGTTGACGAACTGGATAGAGCTAAAGAGCTTCTATCTAAGCGACAGTGGTTGCACAAGGTCTCTTGCAATAAGCTTAACTGATTTGCTAGGGCACTTCTGACCCTTTTGCACGCATTTCGCCATGGTGGTGTGGTAGTGATACACAAGGGCGGCCACTACTCAGCATGGGAGATGTCGCCAAACACCCTGTAATCTGTCATAGTTCTACCCTGCATATTCCCCTTCAATCGCATGCCTGTTCTTTCTTGATCCCCTTGGCCTCATTTCCGGACTCATCTCATCTAGGAGTCATAGTCTTGAGAAATAGCATTCACGAGTACTGGCGCAAGCGAGTACAAACAACCATGTGTCTTGTAGCTATTCCGAAGGAGAGCTAAAACAGGTCAGCTCTCAGACGGTAAATGGAAGCGGCCTTTCAATCTTGGAAAAGTGAAAAGAGGGTGGCCACTTCGCGAACTCAAGGGGTATAACCAAACAAAATAAATAAATAAATAAATAAAAACAAATAAATAAGAGTAGAAAGAATATGACAACGGGGCGAAAAGATAGGGCAGAGATTCGTCTCGCTAAGCTAATGAAGCCGCAATATGTGGCTACAAGCTATGCTTGTGTATTGGGTAGATTTCCCATTTCATCGATTGGGCCATACTCCGGGAAGTTCATCTGCCTCTCAGATGGGCTGGTTATGGAGTAGGGAAGTTGTGGACTAATACAAGCAATAGAAGTAACTCTCAGAGAGGATTTACTCTCGAGAGAAGTCTAGAGCCGTCAAGAATCAAATACAGAATCCATAGGTTGTGAGTGGCCCAATTGATCCGGACAAGCTTCTTGCCCATGTATATATGACCTAGCTCGGTCGAGAAGTACGTGAGAGCGCACGACACCGGAGGAAGGATCTGCAAGGACATCGCAATGATATTTAACATGACACGCCATAAGGAGGGGTGGGGTTCGGAGTTCCGGTATGATCCTACCCTTTCGGAACAGGGATGAATTCTGATGCGCATAGCGATTGGGCGAGGGTATCCCAGATCGAAGTCAGAGATGCATTATTGGTCGACATGTAACTAAGCGAACAAGTACATGACGGAGGAACAAGTAGAAATTCATTGTGCCATCAATAGCATTTATGATAGGTTGTTATAAGGAGAAGTGCATGCAGGATGGAGGCCAAACCAATCTGGGCGACTTCCCGTGCATGAACGGGTGTTGCCTCGAACATGCTAGTAGAGCAGTGTTCCAGGCAACTTTCATTCAAAGACACTCTAGAAAAATGTAGACAGGGAAAGAAAGACAGATCAGAAGAAGAAATTTTTAAAGGCAAAAACAAAAATGCAGAGGGAGAAAAATGATATAAATTAATCAATCAATCAATCAATAATAAAAAAAAAAGGCTGTATTATGAAAGAGTAGTAAACCGTGTGATTATAACACGGTAATCATAGCCTTAATGATACGGGTGATTAACTACTCTCATGTTCGCCCCAATGAAAGTGGAAGATGGGCAAAAGGCTGATGCAGACGTTACTCTGTAGGTACTGGTACTACTGGTACAAAGTACACAGCACTGACATCTGTGCGTCGGCTTAAATGTCGAACTTGATTTCTATAATTTTGACTCTCGCAAACAAGAGTAAAAGATGGGATCGGTGCCACCCTTAGTCTGGAAGGAAGGAAAATGAACGACGGTACTACTAGGAAGTACCAAGAGCCAGGTAACTACTAGTATCCGCGAGTACTGTACGGAGTACGTGCTTGTATACGTACTCCGTTGTACCTAGGGCAGTTGACCGTTTGTACCGTACCATATTTCAAGTTACTCAGTACTGAGTTACAAGCGCGCCGGGTACCTGAGATGTGGGGCCAAAAGGACATTGTGCTTTGCCAGAAAGTCACCGAGACTTTCTGAGCCAACACCGGACATCCGCCATACTAAACCTAGTTATGTTATGGGGTATGAAACTTTACCGCGTCCGTTGATTAAGGTCATGCTTCATGACAGGTGGTTCTGGAATTTGATACGATCAATACACCGGGGCCACATCCATCCTAGTCTGCCAAAGTCTATTATTATTAGTTATTATCATGATGATGATGATTATTATTGAAGCTTACGCGAATCTGTTTTCGTCTCAAAACGATATCTTCCTTTCCTCTCCTTTCATCTTACTTTTTCCTTTTCCTTTTTCCTTTTTCCTTTTTTCCTCCCTTTCTTTTTCTTTAGTTCTATCTTCAGCAAGATCGGACTTTCCAATCGTTCAATGCCCCCCAATATCAATTTTCTGCATCTGCACCCGCACCTGTACCATCCGTTTGGAGAGACAGCTGGAACGTTAAAAGGACTGGGCCAGAGGACAAGATGTCAAATGCAAGGCTACTACTATCTGACGGCTGATTCAAGTCAGCGGGGGGCGCTTCACCTGCATGCCGATGGTTCTTCGTGCATGGACCATTGTTATTTTCATCTATTCCGTACTAAGATGATGATGTCGTACTAGCGGAGCTTCACAAGCGCGCTGGTAGCATTAGTTTGCAAATTTTGTGGATGTCCTCTAACTTGGGGGCAATCTTGGCTCATGCTGTCGGCCCCTCCTCCCGTCATCCCCAAAGGAAGGCGGGAAGAAAAGAAAGAAAGAAAGAAAACAATGCAGAACTATAGAGTACATAATAGTAATCATGATCCTATGTATTCTACATTGACCAATTCTGGTTCAGGTTGGTCTTCCAATATCATAATCATATGGGCTTGTCTTCCTTGTTTACCCTAATATTTTCAAACTCTGACAAGACAGACACAACCTACCAGGATGTGATCAGAAGGTTCAAATTCATGGGTGGCTCATGGATGGCCTACTGGACGGACTGTGCCGTCCTTGCAGTCCTCGTTCCATTGCCTTCTCGCCAAATAATGGAATTCGTTCATTGACCCAGCCTCCAGGATTATTGCAGTCTGCGTCTAATAGCGGAGCCTTTGACCCCACTCTGCGGTTATCAACTAATCTGTACTATGTACTAGTAACCATCTCCGCTACTATCAGCCGTCTGCCAGTCATCGGGAGGTGCATTCCCGCTATCTTCGATAGGGCGAATGCACGTCTTCCTCTTTCTTTCTTTCTTTCTTTCTTTCTTTCTTTCTTTCTGTCTTTTTTGTTCTTTTTTGGCCTTCCTGTACATCTGTAACCATACGGACCGCTGTACGAAGTACACTAGGATGACCTGCTGACAGAATGGATCGACCGCATTATCTGCATCCTGGACCTATACCCGAACCTGCCTCTCTTTACAGCTTCAGCTTTGACTTCTGAGCAACCTGTCGGCTTTAGTCAGTTGACCCAACGTTCTGGGCGCCATTATCCACCTATCATTAGCCGGTTAGCGCTCAACACATACGCCTTGGTACTGTACTTCCCGCGCGGAAGGGTCCCTCTTTTTTTTTTTTTTTTTTCCTTCTTCTGAGCTTTTCATGTTGGACTCTAGAAGAACGCTCCCATGGCCACCATCTATACTCATGGCATAGCTAAACCCACTGTCTTCTTGCATTGATTCATTTATTATTCTTTCCTTAATCTCCAACCCGTTTTTTAGACTTTTGTAGTTAAAGGAGGACAGCCGTAGCTTCAAACTACAGTTGTTGCATTGATTTATTCTCTCTCCGTTTGAGTGTCCATCGACTTGCAGCTTTGTGCATGCTTAGTCTCTCTCCATTTCAGTCATCATTGATCCTCGCTCGGATAATCCAGGACCTAAGGTGCCCCTCCTCTGAAGGTACCAGGTGGGTGTCTTCTTTCGGTTCCTTCCTTCCCCCTTAGCGGAAGATACCAACGTTTGGAATTATCTGAAACCGCCATTTTTGAAACACACTCTCTGCTTGGTCCTTTTCAGCCTATCCCACCTCGAGTCTGGTTGGGTTTGCTGCCACTAGTTTATCTATCCCTTGTGGTCCCTTTCTCTCTCAGTTTCTAAAAAGAAACCAAGAGGACACGAAGGAGGAGAGTCCCTGCAGTTCCCTTAGGCTGAGCAGACGCATACTTGCGGCATCGATACTGTTCTGTACAATCCCGAATTAAAAGTCCGTTTGGCTCAGAAACGTTGTTGAGGGAAGATAGAGTGTCACTTGGCTACTACATTGATTCCCTCTGGTATCTTTTTCTTCCCTCCTTTACCCTCAATCTTCCATATCATTTCACTGCGTGCTTGGTGGCAGTATGCATCGTTGAAACAGGCCGGTCTCTCTCTCCCTTTCTGCTCTTTTCTTTTTCCTTCTTTCCTTCTTCTTTTTATTTTATTTTATATATTTATTTTTGTTTTGTTGTACTCCCTTGGTTTTATTTTTATTTTTATTTTTCCTTTCCCCGTTGGATTGGGGAGAAGCCCTGTCTATCTCCGGTCACCACAACTTCCGCGCATCTCAACCAGAACATTTAACCACTTTTATTCCATGGTGGTTTTCTTCTTCTTTTTCTTCTTCTTCTTCTTTTTTGACTTTTTTGCCTTCCTTCACATTAACTTTCCTTGCCCTTCCCCGCAGAGAGGTGACTTAGAGCATAGAAGTTACATGTCCATAATCCTACTGCTTCTACAGTCCTAGTTCTCTGCTCTGTGGCCTTTTCCCCTTCATTTACACTGCAATACAAAACCCTGAGTCCGGATTTCCCATGAATCTCGTTCCTCCTGTGAATTTCAGACCCTTATTCAATGTCTACTGTCCAATTCATGTACGCGAGCATCTACGTTTCTTTCTCTCCCTCACTAGTCATCATACGAACCTGTACTGGCTTCCATTTCTGTCACTCGTTGCGTCGCCAACGTGGTTTCTGATTGCTTCCTGAGCAACCACGTGTTTATACATTGAGTAGACGCATCATTCCGTTTGGGAGGCTCTTTGGTCATTTACTTATCATCCTATCTTAGTTTGGTGTTTGTTTGCTTTCTATGTGCTGCAGCGTAGTCGCGTGACGCGTTTTACCCTGTCTATACATTCGCTATAGCTTGACTCCTCCGGGCTCCTTTAGCTTTCTTTCCTTTCTTTCCCCCCTCTGGATTGTTTGTCGGATTACCTGTGGAGGGAAGCCGGCCCTATTTGCTTCCATGGTCGCCTGGATATGTCGAATCTATCAGAACAGCCATGGACCGAGGAGGAGAAGGTAAGAAAGGATATTATATTCTTTATCCTCTACTGTTTCTTATTTGAGTCTTAATATCGACGGTTCACAAATTTTCCTTCATTTCACAGTTTGCTCTTGTCACACTGATGAACTCCGAAAGCCCCGTGCATTATTATCTATATGAACGGTTTGCTGATGGTAGATATTCTGAGATCTAGTATACTCTGCTTACCGAAATATTGAAGAAGGCCGGGGTCCCCTCTAGTCACCTATTTAAGATGATCCGAGATTTCAATATCACCCCAAGCTGGGCGGACATACCCCTTCCTCCAGGTATAAACTGCTAGCACCTTGCTCTTCCTTTGATACTCTGAAGCTCGACTTTATGAGACTCACGCCCTACCTATGCCGTTTTCCGGGCCATTTTGCACAGAAGAATACTTCGAAGTTCGAACTCAGCTTTGCTGATCTTGTTCTTTTAGGCCGTTCTCTCAACTCCTGTCAGGTGGCATTTTACAGTATGTGTCCACAACATGTTCAATTACCTCTCAACCCAAGCTTTGCACCCTTCCCTCCTCCGCGCCATGAACCCTCGGCTCCTCCAGCTCCTGTGCTTGACAATAGCCAAACCCGAAAGCGCCTACTTTTCCCCTCGGATAAACCAATCCTAGCTCCGCGTGCGATACAACCCCGGCCAACCACCAGTACAGCTTCGTTCAGCAGTGAGAGTGGCGCGTCAGCCTTATTATCCCCAGGTTCGGAGAGCATGCCACCCCGAGGTGAACCACCACGCAAGCGCGGTCGACCCAGCAAAGCCGAATCAGAGAGGCGAAAAGCAGCCGCTGAAGCTCGCGGAGAAACATATCCACCTCCAAGGCGAACTGGCTTCAACAAAATGAAAGCCCCTTCTACACCAACCAGTCCCTCGAGCATCGAACCTCTGGCTGCCTCGTTCATTCCTCATGCCAGTGGTAGTCCGCACCCAAGTGTACTACGATCTGATCTGCATTATGTACCTCCGCCCGGAAGACCCCCGAGACTTTCAGGGCCAAATGAAAATGAGGGGATTAGGGATGCACCCCGTCGTGACATAGGACCTCCGATGAGAGACTTGCCCCGACCAACGGAAATGAGGCAGACAATACCTTCCTCACAAACACTAGAATCAGGACAGAGGAAAACGATCCCACGCATGGATCCTGGGGAGCGATCCTTTGAGGCACCCCCACCAGATCGAATATCTTTCGGTGATAGCAGTCGGATATCTCTCCTTCATAGATGCCCAGATGAACCACCTATCTCAGTTCCGGAGGTACCTCTGCACACTTCGGCTGAGAAACGAGCCGAATGACCTTCAGTCATTTGGTTACCCAGTCATATAAATTCGCTAGTCTGAAAAGCCATTGAGACACGATGAATGAATTACACTGTCGATTATGACATAGATAGCATTGATTTGGACGCAGATCTCACATTACGACCTGGGATGAGTTACTGAAAAATAAAGGCTACGAGCAGCATACACCACAACACTTGGTTTCTTCTTTATTTCATTCCTTTTGCTTCTAATTCTGTGGGTGGGGTGATGAACTCAGCAATGCATTTCTTGGATATCTTCTCGTTTTTATCATTATATCTAAGCTAGCAAGCCTGATATATCATTACAGATCTAGCCAGTGAACCAACTTTGTCCTGTATGCGTCTCTGGTTCATAGAACTAGCATAGAGCAAGTCAGCACCTTGTCAGTCACAAACAAAGCCTCAGGATACGTTAATACAATTTTATTCTGTTCAATTCAAGTACTGATGCTGATTCTGATGTTCCGCAACGGGCTGAGTTGACATAAATATCATGCTCTTCTAGTGAATTTCGTCCTTTTACTTCATTCTTTAGCCTTTATCTTCTCTTTCCAGAACAGTAATCTCTTTGGCTTTTCCCTCTCTCTATCTTTGTTTTACTTATTAGCCTTTTCTCTGAGGGCACGAAACGTTTTGGTTCAACTGAATTCTGAATGTCTTCAAGGCAGCATTGTCTAATCTAGTCTTCATGTCCTCTTTCTTCCCTGTTCTTCGGCTTCCCAGTCCACTGGCGACTGATTTCAAATGCTAATACCCTGTTGTATACATTTATGGTTCAAGATGGCATATGCCTAGTATGTACAGGTCTGACCCTGTATAAAGATTAGAGCCAATCCACAAGGCAGGGCATCATCCCTCCACATCTACGAAAATACAGGTAATAACTGTACGGATGGTACGTAAGTTGTGCAACATCATGATATGCACAAGCGCTGTTGCTCTTCTAAAGTATATATATAAGCTATATTGTATAGCATAGCCATACGTTCTTGGACAGCAGAAGATGCTTGTCATTACATAGCTGTCAGTATGCAAATATCAGAAGGGAGTAAACTTCACAAACAAAGTTCGGGTGGAGATTCTTCCTCCTATTTCTGAAGTACCCTCAAGGAAAAGCCTTGAGAACAGTTCAATTTCGGCGATCCTTCCGGGGACTAGTGAAACATCTGTCCACGGCTGTAGCTTGCTCCAGAATTGGTGCCTCGAAGTCTGTTGAGAGTATCGATATGCAAAAAGGCTATGGATGTAGTTAGTGAGGCAGACAGTTGAATGAACAGAAGCTATTCTTGATGTTGAGTTCTATCCTCCATGTCTCGGCTTTTCTGTTGCCTTTGCAGCTCTAGCTGAGCCCTTATTGCACTCACGGCGGAACTCAGACTTGGACCCGATGGCTTGGCGAGTCTTTTGCCAAAGTCAGGGACTGTGCCAGGGATTTTTTCTTCTACTAATTTCATTACTTCGTCTTTCCCTTCCACGCGTCGAGTGAGGTACACCTTCGGCGTAGTACCCTGACGAGGAAGACTGCGGATCCCGATACGCTCAATTTCCTGCCGATATGCGGTTTCATAGATATCAAACTCTGCTGCACCCGGTGACTCGCTCACAACAGGGCACGGGTCGATTTCAGAAGGTTCTGCAGATAGCATACTATCCGGTTCGTCAAAAATGTAGTCCATCTCGGAGTCGCCAGTATCCGTAGGCGGCGAGCCGGTATAAGTAGAAGGACCAATGAACAAGAACGGAAACTCTTCTTCCAAAGGATCTCGGGCATGTCCTCGTGTTCCCTCGATGCTGCGCTTGGTAAGGACCGAACTTGCCCGCGACAGTGGAACTTGAGGGGATGAAGATCTAGGTGTGGTTAGGGTCTGCGAGTCATCGAAAGATGCTCCTGGTATTGTGCTGCTAGGTATGTGGCCTGAGTCGTTTCCCTCGAGCCTGACGCTTGCAGTCTGGTTACTGCTTTCGTACAACACAGGGTCTTGTTTTCCAGAGATACTGGTGTCTGTGCTGTCTAGGAGCTGTTGTAAGCGTGGTTCTTCACAATGCAGATGATACCCTTTGAGAACGTCATCACGTTGCCATGCATTTCTATTATATGTGTTTAGGCTCTGGCTCTTGTTGGAATTTGAAACAGTCCCAGCTGCGAAACTTTCTTCGGGTTCCATTTCAAGGGGTGGTTGGACAAAGTGCGTCTCATACTCTTGTCCAAGAATACTCTGCATAGGTGGGTCTGCCTTGGCAGGGTCAATTAGCCTCTTGAAGTTCTTCACGGCTTTCATCTGTAGCTCCTCGTTAGCTTGCCTCAATACGTAATAAAGTCTGCACAAAGCTTACCACAGCTAGGACATGGCCAATAGTCTTTGTGATAGCTGAATTCATTTCCTCTTCAGTAGGAAGTCCAATTATTTCAGCAGTATTTTCGCTCTCCGGCAATAATGGGTCCGTTCCATTCCTTGTAACCCAGGGGTGTTCCTGAGTTTCTTTCTATGAGCAATGCTTTGTTGTGGGAGTAGAAAATGTCCGTCTCACTTACTCGCAATTCACTCATTTGGATCCTTTTGGTCGGATCTTTCTCTAAAATCCGTGACATTAGGTCCTTGAAGTTTTCATCGGTTTCTCCCTCACATGCCACTGGGTCAGTCTTAATGGCCTCGTACAGCTCGAAGATGCTCTGCTTCTCGAAGGGCAATCTGCCGTACCGCAAACAGTACAACGTAACACCCATAGACCATATGTCGGCCGCTTTCCCCGAGACATCCCCGTGTTTGACAACACATAGCTCTGGTGGGAGGAAAGCAGGTGAGCCAGCCGATTTGGCCGTGAACATATCGGAATCTTTCTCGAACATCTCGGATACCCCGAAGTCCACTACCTTGAGAACGTCATCGCTCGTTATTAGGCAATTATCTGGTTTTATATCGCGATGTACAATGCCCTGAGCGTGCAGATATTCTATTCCCAGGACCAGGTCGCGGAACCAACAGCGACAGAGTTCGTCATCATATGGGTCGGCTCTTTCCTCAAGCCCAACTTTCATAACCACCCCTTTCTTACACATCTCCATAACCATGTATAGAGAATCCTCCGTCGGGTCGTCTAAGACCTCAATCAGAGAAACTAGGTTGTGATGATGCAGTTTCTTCATGATTGCTATCTCTTCTTTAATGAGGTAAAGAGCATTTCTCTTTTCATCTGGATCGTCCAGTGAACGACGATGAAGTGGGGAATTGAAGCCATCAGACGGGCGCTTGGGACCTCGAGGTCTCCGTAACAGGTGGGATTGGGCGCGTTTTCTTAGCCGTGCCTTGGAGAATTCCTTGACAGCCTGACTCAGTGCACAGGTTGTTAGCTGGGAGTTTGTTTTCTCTTCGTGCTTCGTGCCACGGTATGAGTCCATAACCGGGCTACCAAGACAGAAAGAAGACCTTACGTATTCATTCCCAAACTGATCCGTAGCAAGATGCACGGCTCCGAAAGAGCCCCTGCCAATCTCTTGTTTGATCACATATTGGTTGATTCTGTGTTCAGCGGTACCATCATCCTGGCTGGTGGTATATTCAGATCGAGCATTCAGAGTTTCCTACCGCCAGTTCAGTTAGCTTCCTGCAGAGAGAGGAAACACATTCTCTGAAGAACCACCTTGACTGAGCGTCTAGCTATTGGGTTTCGGCGATAATGCCTTCGTGGACTCTCATATGAAGGTGTCGAGCTGAAACCGTGGTTTTTAGCAACCCACTCGAAAACTAGAATGGCTGGGAATCCCAAAGAGACGAAACATGAAAAAGAAAAGGGGAGAAGAAGATCAAGGTGTTGTAGAGCTTACGCATAACGAACTGGACGCGGATGACGAAGACCCGGACGACGACCGGAAAATTGATTAGCATCCTGCAAGGAGGGGTAGGCATTTTCGTTGGCCATTGAATACGATGAGCAACGAAATGGCAACAGGGAGATCCCCGAAATACCAGAGGGAGAACGTCTAAGTTGGGGATGTCTAATTCTCCGTTGAGATAGCAGAGACGCGAAACCCGGGTGCCTAGGCAGATGTGGGGAAGAATGTGGGCTGCACAAGAGAACAAAAGGCGACAACGCTGGGATGTTCTAATGGACCTATGGGAGCATTTAGTAGTAGGTGGTAGAACATGCAAGTTGGGCAAGATACGCAGATAAAAAAAAAAAAAAAAAAGAAAAGAAAAAGAAAAAAGAAAAAAGAAAAAAGACCAAAGAAGAAGAAGAAGAAGAAGAAGGATGCTTTTACAGTATAATAATAATACCAATAAATAAAAGAAGGGGAACAAGAAAGGAATCATGACAATTTCCACTTTCTAATTGGGATCCTCAGGCACAAGTCAATCTTTATCGATAAACATTTGATCTTATTTTGGATCTCTCACCGCCCACGGGCATACCGATCTGTCCACCTAAACGAGCCTAATTCAACGGTCTCTGGAGATACTTCTTTGATTAGCAAACTTTCATCTTTAGATCTCCGTACTTTAATGCGCCCTTCAACAAGTCAGATCCCGGATACCTTTCTGTGGTGAACTGTCTGCTATCTCTTGACCGTAATGGTTGTTTATTCCTTCTACATCTTTGACCGCCATGGTACGTGTCTCTACCAACCCTTACCAAAGGTATACTAACCGGCTGCTCTCATTTTCTTAGCGGAATGCATATACAAACGACGTTGGGTGCCCCGTCCGCCTTCAATTATTGGAAAGTCCTCGCGTCCGACTTCGGAAACTTCTGCCACCCCCAATGCATTGCCTCCTGTGCTGGGTCAATCTGCGCGGATCACCGACGATGATGCCAAGTTGATCTTCGGCACCGTCTTCTCCCTCCGGAATATGGTGCGCAAATTAGGGGGTGAAGATGATAGGTGAGGGCAATCCTCATACAACTGCCAAATCAGTAGAAGAGACTGATACTGACGGTTGAAATCTCGCCTTCAGCTTTGTTACCTATTGTACCAGTCAATACAAGCTCCATTATTACGAGACGCCTACAAACATCAAATTTGTGATGCTTACCGATGTTAAGAGCCCAAGCATGCGGATTGCATTGCAGCAGATCTATATCAATCTTTACGTTGAATATGGTATGCAAGCCCACTCATTGAAACTGACTTCATCGGGCGCTAAAGCGAGGAAATTGTCTCAGTGGTCAAGAATCCGTTGTCCCCGGTTGAACATCCAGGCGGTGTGGGTGTAAATAATGAGCTTTTCGAGGAGTCTTTGGAACAATTTGTGGTATATCTACCATCCCTGCTTAGCTCAACTCAAGGGCTGACACAGTAACAGACGCGCGTGCTGTCTTGAGAACTCGTGGACTCTAGGATCTGCATCCATTTAGTCTCTGCCTGACTTCGCTGTGGCCGGAGAAGCCAATCGTGCAGTAGACAGGGTATCTACAGAAAGAGAATGCGATAGATTCCAGGATTAATCAACTAGCCTCGCTTCTCCCAAGGCAGTGCCATGAAAGACACATCAAGGATATACGTATCCTAACCCGGGGATTACTGTCGACCTGGAAGAGTCGCCCTGGCTAGAATTCCCCAGGAACCTCAAGGCGCGCGGGGAGAAAAAGAGGAAGGGGGTTGGGGGGGGGGGGCGCTACTGTTTTACGAACTTATATGGCCATGTTGCTGATACAACTTTGTATATGCACCGACTTGCTAGATGCAAGATATGGGATAAGAGAATTCTAGTCACTTCTCAGGCTCCATGGCGGCTGATCTCACACTGCGATTAACAACTCCGAATCAATAACCACGGAAAATAAGAACATTTATTTGTCAACTACATTATGGCATAGTACCTTTCCCACAATCTCACTCGAGGGTGAGTATATAATTACTAGTTTCTCTGAAGAATGAAACTTTAGATAATTCCACCCGTGGCAGACCTTCCAGACTGTCCGTAGCGAACATCTGCGGGTAGGTCATCCTCATTACGCCCTTCACTATATCCATTCTGAGTACGGGGCTTTGCGTGACGGAGGCGGTCGCCGCGTAAGATATTACTTCTATCGATAGCCTCCTTTTCGTCTTGCGCTGCAAGCTTATTAGCGAGCCTAGCGAGACGCCCGACAAGCCTAAAGCCTTACCTAGTTGCTGATCACTGTTGGAGAATGGAGGCTGGATAGGATCTTCAACTTCATCCTCGTCCCTTTGAACAGGGATCTCATTCCTTAGCTCGGAGCGATTTTCATGGGCGTAGGAATCATCTCTGACTGTTCCAGAAACGGGAGCAGGATCGTTCTGAGCCTCGTAGCGGTCTTCGGCTTCTCTTTCGTAAAGGTTCGACATGGTTAATCAAACTAATAGCGATTTTGTAGAAGATATAGAGAGTGCTTGTGGTTGGGCACAAATGAAGGATGCTATGATTTGTGAAGTCGCTTGGTTGAGGATAATAGCGAGTATTTAAGCGCTTCAGTTCCTCCATCCTAACGCACTTTTGACATCAGATGGCCGTCATCCTTATGTATGGGGCGAATTGGATTTTCGATAAGGTTCTAGTTTAGGTTGGTAGAGATGATGCAATTCGAAGGGTTTCGTCTCTACACATTGCTCGGTTCATGATCGAAACAAATCTACTAAACTTGATACAACCTATCAGGCGGCTTAGATCTGGATCGATACTTTTCGTGGTATGCCAAGGCTGTCTGGCCTGAAGTTACTGATACCTTTGACCTGAGGTTATCATTAGGTAGCTCATGAGTAGGCAAACTAGCGGGAAACGGTTATTTTGAGGTAAGGGGGCGTTCCGCCCATTGCAATGATTTCTATGGCCATATAGACCTGCTTTCAGAAAGCTAATCTTATCCAAAAGACACGGAATGCGTAATTTTGATCAAGGCCAACCGTAGCTCTGACCACGAATATGACATGGGAATGATTCAGACTGAGGTCATCTGTCCCAATATGTTTAGCAGATTGCTCATTCAAACAAACTGATATTTGAGCAGGAACGTCAGGGCGTTATTCAGTAGACGATGATGCCCGCCAGTCAAATCATCGCCTTCAGTCCAAGTTAAAAAGGGGGTCTAGTAGCCTTAGGAATGCTAGGGCCAGTTCTGATGGTCACTACGGAGGTGTGTTCCTAAAGTTATCAAACAGGTGGGCCATGTGGCACGTGACCATTGGCCAATAGAGTGTTTCTTTGGAATATATAAGTAATGCTTATTGGCCAAATATCACGTGATATACACTAGCGTAGTTTGATAACTCTAGGAACACACCTCCGTAGTTATTAGTTAGTTATTCATCAGCGGTATTATGTAATATTCACAAATTCTCCCATGATTTGGGCAGATGCAGGACACTCACTCTTCGCAACACTACACAAATTAGCATCCAGCTACTCGTAGGTATTTGGATTTGATTTTGCTATAGTTAGGGGTAGTGGCTATAACCTTGAAGTGACAAAAGGAACAATTTAATCACCCATACAAGCTTATTACAGGACCGGAAAGGCACGATTCGGGTAGCATGGGGGAGACCGGTCCATACTGTGCTGTACACCACTTGAAAAAGAACTATTGTGCTAATCCAAGTATTGAACAGAACTATCCTGCTCTAAATGTGTCAATAAATTGTGAAAAGTCATAGTCACATTCATGGAAGGTACAGTACGTCTACAACTTATTTCATATGACCATGCCGAATATCACCTGACAAATCCTATGGACTGTGCCACTACTCCGTAATGCAGTGTACAACATAAACTGGCAAAAGAAGTGGCTCGTGCAGTCCCACAAATGAAGGGTTAGGTTTCAGAAACAGCTTAATCTTGTTCAGGAAGGCCAAAGGGATGCACGAAGCTTGAACTTTGACTCGCGGCAATTCATTCGCTTAAGGAGGGGGAAGCCCCCATAAGCTACGTAGGACCAGACTACCAGCCCTTAGGCTCCGCTTTGTTCACCGTAGAGTTTGTTGTACTAAACAAACAATACAGTTAGAGGTTTTTGAGAGATAAAAGAAGATAATAATCAAATCAGATAAAAATAATTTTATTCCGTACAGACACAGTGAAGATTTTCCCGACCACGGAAAGTCTCCTAGTTTTAACCCTCCACCTGAACCAATCGCCTAATTTATAGCAGGTTACTATCACCCTGGATGGACCGGAAATTGTCGCTTTCATATGGGAAGACTTGTGGAGTGGGTTAATATGGCAAATTAAGACTTTCGAAGGTCCATCCACAATCATAATACTGTACTCCGTTTGTACATACCTACGTACAGGGTTGTATTCCCCGCTTTTGAACCCCACCCCCTGAGGAATCAAATACACCACCCAATGTGTCCAGAAGTGCATATTTTGTGTGCGGTCATGGAAGCGTGCGGCGAAGGATGAGAGGATTATAAAGACCTGTCGGTTTTAAGTTGAGCCAGTGTCTCTCTGACTCCCACCTCGATCCCATTCCCATTCGCTTATTTGTTTGACCTGGCGGTGAACCGTCCCCGTCACATACAACTTGAACGAACACTACATCTATACTTTAGTCCCTACTCCAAGAATCAAGGCAATAGCTGGGGTTTGACCGACTGGTCAAACTCAAACCATCGGCTGACGAGGTAGTGTGCTGTGGATCATGGATTATATCGAGTAATATCAGATGATGTTAAAAAGACAAACGGGTATCCGCACCCATCGGAAACGGGTGGTTTTGATTTCCGAGATTTAACGCATCTTTTCCGATCGCCCCTAAACAATTCGAGCCATCCAGTCAATCCAGATCTAATACGATATCTACATGCGGTAAGATGGTCGCGGTATCGGAGATCAGTTCAACTCATTGGCAATCTGGCATCTAGAGAAGGAAAAGAAAATATCCTCCTGTAGGCATAATGATGATTAACTCTGGATATGAGAGAGGTACAGTACTTCGTGTCAGTTGCAGTACTAACTACTAAAGCAACTAGCGTGGTACAGTACAGATTCCATCGGGAATGACCCACTCACCATGTTTTCTTTACTCCCGCTTTTTCTTCTGGCCTGCGATTGGCCCCAAAAATCCCTCGTGCAATTCTTGATAATGTCGGTCGATTTACGTCAGTTGTATAGGTTAGGGCTACTAGGTACCATCTACTACCGCCGTTGAAGGGGTTAGAGGTAGAAAGAAAAGGAACACTATCTCGCTCCAGGTTCAGTTAGCCAACCCTAGGTAGGTATTAGCAACCAAAAGTACAACTGCCTAGATACGGATTGGTTTTCTCTGGAGATCTGTGAATTTGTTAGGTTTGGATCATGGCTCCAAGACACTCCAGGGACGGCAGCCACAGCCGAGGTCCGGAGTACTAGCTTTAATAAGCCCACGCCGTCCGCTCCGGGATATTGGTACGGATATACGAGGCCTGGTGGATGTCGCATTGTAAACAGTTACGCATACCTTCCCACGTCAAAATTAAACAGAAGTAGTATTGATCATCACGCGGCTCGAGGTGTTTGGCGGGCATGTTAGGTGGTGATGACTCTTCGGAAGGACAAAATAATTGGGGGATAAAAGGAAATGATAACAATAGCAGTAGTCGTAGATAAATCAATAAGAGATGTCGATGATAGCCTTAGCACGCAGCCGTCAATTCAGCTTGACATCTGCTGACCCCACGCGGATCCCTCAAGCAGGAAGCCAAAAAGGGCCATGTGCATAATAAATAGTCGCTTCCAACTTATAATTCGGTAGAGAACTCATGATCTGATCACAGACCAAAGTTCGAAGTTAAGACAGCCATCAACAGCTCCAAATATACCCATTTAGCCTCCTCAAGTGAGGTAATCGCCACGAGGAAACCTGACCATTTCCCCACCATTGACTAGAAAAAGCTATCAAAGGATGTTGTCATAGCATGTCCAATCCATCAGTGTCTTAGCCACGAGAAGTCTGATATGCAAGCTTCAGCCCATTCATTGCCGGAAAAGTTGCAAAAGTGAGGGAGTCGTCAATCTATACGTTAATTGATCCCACAAGATGTACTTGACTGAGGGGATAAGTATTCCAATCCAGGGAAAAAGGCAGTCAAGGAAGAGAGAACAGAGAATCAACCCGTGCATTGCCATTGACCGTAGTAATGTAACTGGTGGGTGAAACTCCGAAAAAAAGGTCGATCCCTAACACCCTATACTATTAGACATTCTGTGTCCTCTAGTGACGTTGGCTGCCAACTACCTTAGTAGCCCACCTTCAGGTCCTCCCTTTAATTACCACTCATTGTATGGATGAGGAGGGGCTTTTTTTTATCAAATCATTTAGGCAGCCCGCCACACAAAGGCAACAAAGTAAGGCCAGAGTAATAATGTGACTCTTTCCCGTAGTTCTACCTAAACTTGTCCAGCCACCCAAGCCATCGGCTCCCGTTGTGAATAATGTGCGGGGACAGCATACCCATATGATCCGTAGGACTGCAGATTGCACAGCCTCAGTCTGACCTAAACTCTCGAGATTGACTAATGTGCCATGCGAGTCGTGTTTGTTTGGTAATTGCCAGCGTCACCCTGTCCAGATGAGCCAGAAGCTATCAGTTGATAAACGTCATCCAACTGATCTTCATTGAAGAGGCAAGATGAAGGGTCGAAACAAAACAACGATCGGATTTCCTTGTAATTAACGATGACTCAGGGGGGCAGCTCCGGCATCTTTCCAACGGTCCTTCACCAGAAAATAGAATACATATCATGAACAGTTAAAGAATAAATTAATACATAACTACTCCGTAAATAGATGAAAGAAAAATGTTGGTGCAACAACTAATCTGCGGAGCTTTCTTTTTATACACAGAGAAAAGATGAGGAAGCCGCCACTTTTGTTTTCTTACATCTTGCCCAACGCACTACTTCTACTACCTACGGAGTACATACATGGCTAGTAAGTAGCAGCACTGAGTGATTTGTCTTATCCACTCTTCACCTCCATTGTCCCGTTGTCCGATTGTCGGGAAAAGGCTTTCAAATACGTTATTACTTGAGAGGAATACCCAGTAATTTTTGGAAAATAAAATAAAAAATTCTGAGTAAGGTAACGACAATTCTGACCTCCAATGGGGTACTACTCCGTATATTCACATTATCGGAAGTGGGTACGTATATACATACAATAATACTCTGTGTAATACATACGTACTGTACAGCCATTTCCCATGGTGGTGCACTTGGTTTTTATGTCAACAGCTTGTGGCTGCAACTGTATGATACCATACCATCACAGGACAATACCGATAATGCGTACCATCGACGAGGCCTGCGAACGGAGCGGAGGGTTAGTAAATTTCCAACAAAATCATCCATCTGATTACTCGATTCTGACAAAAAAAAAGAGGGCTTCGGCTCCATCATTTGCTTCTTACTTCCACAACCGGCAACAAAAAAGTCTCTTCCAATCGATCCCCTTTGTAACCTCAGCACAAGGC